GTCCTCTATCGTGGAGGTGGGTGTTTCTCCATCGCAGCCGGAGCGAGCAAACAGGATAAAAACGACCGGAATATTCCCGTGGGGATATACGCGTTCGCTCGAGTTGATTATTTTCGTCAATCTTTCGCGCCTCTGCCGCCCGTGCAAATGTTTGCTTAAAACAATTGCAACAATTAAGACCGAACGCTTCAACAGCGGATTAACCCTCTGCTTCGTTATAGCGGTCCCCTATACAGGGTGACCAAGATAAGGATCCTAAGCATGGGAATCTCAATAGCTGTTGAAGTTGTATAGTTGTATCTTTTGAAGTTTATTTACATGCCTTTTAAAAACTTCAAAAATTTTCATGGCCCGCTGAGACATTTAGAAAAACGGGTATTTGGCAATAGCGATTTTATTTTTTGCTGACTTAATCAGAAGAGATGTCAAAAAACTAATTACACTTTCTCATTGGCACTTTTAAGGTACTATCATCAAATCTTTCTTTTTTAAATGGACCGAAAAAAAGGTAGATTCAATTTTTTAATACAAATTCAACGATGTATCACATGCTTTTCTTTGTTAAAAAGTAAAGGTATTTTGAAATAGGTATTGCAAACAAATGCTTTGAAGTCAACAAGTTTGTCACATATTATTTAATATATTTTTCTACTCCCGCCTGTAAAATACCTAATTACCCACCGATCTAGCGTGCGGGAAGCGTCACTTTGTAGAAAAAGTATAGTATGCAACGCCTTCAGTAAACTTTTTAAGTCACTTGTTTATTAAACACTCGCTCCGCTCGTGTCAAATAAACTCGTGAGTCAAATGACGTTTACCGTACTTGTTGCATAATATACTATTAATTAATATAGGTTATATTACATAATCTCAAAATTCCATCATGTAGTACCTTAAAAGTGCCAATGAGAACGTGTTTTATTAATTTTATGATATTATTTCAAAAAAAGAAGATAATAGTATATTATGCAACAAGTGCGGTAAATGGCATTTGACTCGCGAGTTTGTTTGACACGAGCGGATCTCAGCGGAGCGAGTGTTTATTAAACAAGTGATTTAAAAAGTTTACCGAAGGTGTTGCATACTATAATTCTTCTACGACTGTTAGTTTTTATGTACATTTTCGCAAAACAACAAGAATACATTCACTGACATGACCGTCAGAATTGGCAAACGCCACAATTCAACGCGTGGGAAATATCTCGGAAAACATCCGATTGCTCTCAAACCCGTGCGTAAAGTCCCGGAAATGTCTGACGTGTCTCGGATCCGTGGGAAACGAAACTGAAGTGGTAAAGTGACGCTTCCTGCAGGCTAGATCGATGTGTAATTATTCATTTTACAGACGGGAGTAGAAAAAAAATCGATATTGTCAAATTCCCGTTCTGCGTAAATATCTCAGCAGGCCATAAAAAAATTATTTATGTTTCTAATGAACAAAATTATTTCCTAATATTACTCAAGCTGTATCTTCAACAAGTACTGAGATTCGCGTTCTTACGATACTAATCTTGGACACAGGGTGTACAATATGTCCTCGGATAGAGTAGACAAATGGACAAATGACTAAAAAGTGAAAGGTATGATAAAAGTCATCCTTTATAAAAGTTTCTGATTGCGTTAGAAATAATGTTCGCAATGACTGAAGCTTGTTTTTTGCACAGGGTACGAAAAAATACAAAAATGTAAAATATGCTAAAGAGTAAAATGTTGATTTAATCTTCAAATTCATTATATTCTCAGCGATTTTCAAGCAGGAATTCGAAATTTTGAAATTTCAACTTAAAACCCAAATATTTACGATAAGTCCCATTGTCACCTATTTTATTTGATGGCAACTTTCTTAACTGTGACGTATTTGTTAAAATAAGAAAAAAAATCCAATGCAATATTACATAATAATAATTGTGACGTCAAAATTTGCTAAAATTTCCAGCGAAATAGATTTTACTACTTCTAATATTCTCTGATTCTTGGTCATCTTCAGTAAGTCTTTGACATATCATACATTGACATAAATAAATAAATAAATAAATAAACATCAGTTGTTTAAGACGCCCCCGAATATTTTTTCCTACGCCATACAAAAAAACAAATGTCAGGCATAGCGAACCTTATTAAAATTTTTACAAAGAATAACTTTTTTTTTAATATTTCTCACTTTTGTCTTATCGTCTACTCCATCCGTAGACACACTGCATACAAATATAAATGGCGATTTGTATCAAAAGAAACAATTATAAAAACTAAGCAATCCAGGCATCTATTCACAAAAATCAGTTACGAATTAAATTATTGATGAAGACCATAACAGTTTGAGCCGTACTGGCACAAAAAGTGTAAGTATGTTATGGGTGTTTCAAATTGACAAAACGTATTTTTAGGAACATCTAACCCTTTGATACATAACACCGTTAGTTCTAAAAACCACTAAAGAAAAAGATGAAAATAATCATTATTAGCTTCATTGTAAGCCTACCACTTTCTTCCTCAATTGCAAAAGCCGAATTTTTTAATGTTATTAATTAATGATTATATCCGCTTTTGTATGAAGTTTTTTTTTAGATTACGTTCCCTTTTGGATGTTGATATGTATGTGTTCTGTGAAATACAAACTTATTCTCTGTGACACTCCTAAACAAGACGATTTGAAATGAATATATAGGTGTTAGATTCCTTTATTTATTATAGTCGTCTGCGCACTTGCATTGTTAACTAACAATTAAATTAAGGATGGAAAGTTGGGAAGCTCTTAGTTGTTAATTTAGTTTTATTGTTTTTTTGATTTGTTTTTATACAAAATAAGGTGTTAATTGTCAACTGTTATTAATTGCCATAAGATGCTGTTCCTGAAAAGTGTGGTTCCTTGGATTATTTTTAGAAATAAACTTTCGACCAATGTAGGTCCTCGACCGCTTGATTTTTTTATATACGTGGTATATCAGAAATGTTCAGGTTGTTTAATGCTGGTTTTTCATATTCATTAGAAAAATTAGCATTATTTAACTTTTAATTTAAATATAATTTTTAAAAAATATTTTTATTGCCTTTTAATTTGTTCGCTAGAAACTGTTCGTCGGACTTCACAAAGAGATCATTTTACTAAGAAAATTTATTGCGATTTAAAAAATGTATTTTTTTTGAAGCAGTGGCCTTTTATCGACACAAAAAAAAATCACCTGAAAAAAGTGTCTCTACTTGTTGCTTGCCTTGCCAAATTTCAATAAAATATCTAAAGCAGTTTCACTAACAATAATAAAAAAAAACATTTTTTTAAAATTTTAGCATCCTGCAGCATTTCAAAAAAAAAGCGGTTGCGGGTCTGCATTGATATAAACTTTTTTCTTAAAATCGTCCAAGGAATCACGCCCTTACGGATCAACCTCTTATTATAAAGAAAGAAGGAATGTCAGGGTAATATTTTAAACGCATATACCAATGGTGACATTTTAGCATGGTTGGCACTTGCTTTGAAGAATATTCATCAAAATATGTTAATCGACTGGCGTTTTTGAACTTGATAACTTTTAATGAGGTTTGATAGTATACCTTCTTTTATTATGAACGGTATTTAACAGAAAATGCGATGGTGTTCTAACATAGGGAAAACAAGTAGAACATTTAAGCATTAACGAACACAAAAGGGCGTATAAAAATAATTGTTCGGATTCTAACTATGCCATTCATTAAAATTCAGAAATGCACAACTTTGACGATAATTTTGATATTTTACATAATCAATCAAAAAGCAAAAAACTAAATTTGTTGGAGCTATGGAGATTAATAAAATGAGATATTCGAATCTATTACTTAATGACCAATTGGATTTAAATGCGGCTCCGTGGTTAAATTTAAATTTATAACCCTATACAGGTTATTAAAACCCACCCCAGTCCAATTATAGTAATTTTTTCGACCAATATTATAATATAATTACAGCAGGTTCCAATTTTTTAATAGGTTTATAAAATATTAAATTTCCTTCTTTTAATAAAATTTTAACATCAAAAGTTTTAATTAAAACAGTTTGCATAGACATTTGTTTTATATCGCCTGGGATGGCGTCGACTACTCTCACTACTATATTTGTTCGTTATTTGATACATTAGACAAAAATTTTAACAGCTTCTGTTCGGTTAGGGAGTTTGACGATGCAAAAGCGCTTATACAAGCGAAATGCCATTTATCTTCCAGAAGCCCGGAATTGCTGGTAAATTATGCAAGGCCTCTCGCACTCTAAAGCCCACTACTTGAGCGACTCTGTAATTCTTTTTAATTAATTATTGCTTTAAAATTCCAGTTTGAATGTCACATTTCAACGTTAATGTCAGTGTAATGCCACAGATAGAGATTGCTTCAATCAGAAAAAAAATATTTGTTGAACTAGGAGCCCAATCGCTAAATCCATTGCTGATGAATGTCCTACGTAGTTTTCCTTTTTGCCCTCGGTAGTATAGAAAAAAGTCGAAACAAGCATTGGCTTTCCACCTTTCCAAACCCTCTTGGTAGTGGGGAAACATGTTTTACTTCTATAGAGGCGCTTTTTTGCAAGCACGGCTATAACTTCGAAAAAAGTTTACCACGTTTTTATCAATAAATACATATTTTACTGGTTTTTGTAATTGTAAATTTAGAATAATAGTAACTTCAATTTTGAATTGGGCAACCAAACATACAAGTAAATATTAACGAAGTGCTTTAATTTTTAATTGTTGGACCAAATGAAAATCCTTCCATTAGTCTCCAGAACTCTTTGTAAATGGGAACTTTAATGATTTGTCATCATTTTATTAAATATGTATGCCATCATAGATAATTCATTAACAGTATCGGACGGAAGGCATTAAGGCCAGGTTGTCAGATTCTGCTGCACTCTCCAAATAAAACTAATACAATAAAACTTTGGAGCGGTTTTATTTAGGGTTTTCATTATTGAGGATCCATGGTAATAATGGATATTTTCAGTCATCCAACTTAAAAGGTTTATTTAAATCGCTGTGCTTCAAACAATTTGGCAACGCCGAGAAGTACTCCAATCTGTGCGATATACGTGTCATAAACCTATCATCCACGGTGGAAAAAGTATTTTTCGTGCCGGCAAACTTGAAATAAATGAATTGAGTGATAGAATGATCGGTTCTAAATTATTATTGGGTAACGCTCATTAATTTACCTATCATAATTTCAATGTATCTAATTGTGTTTTACAGTTTTTTTGCTTCTGGCAACGCTTACTTCCACATCGTTTGGTACCATAGGAGGTTATCTATGTCCTTACTACAGCAAAAAGTTTTTGGAGACAGCCGCAAAAGGCTTAAAGTCTGACACCAATGACTTGTCCGTCATATACCACTCAGCAAACACCTACAAATTATTGAAAGAATTAATCCCAAAGGATTTGCAGAGTACAAGTTGTAACCGTCTGAAGAAGCTTTATAAAGCTGAAGCTAATGTTGATGAAATATTTTTCGGTCTTAGTGCATTGGTTATTTTACAGTGCAATGAAAAATTACATAATGATGACCTTACAAAAGTAATCAAAATAATAGTTTTTAGTTTGAAAAAGTGTCACCACATGTTTTTCAGAATCTGCATAAAGTGTTAGAGAATGAGAAATCCAGCCTGTCAGAAATCAGGTACGCCGCCGAGATTTTGTTTTTATTTAACCAAAAAATTCCAAATCAAGCTAAAGTTGCCCAGCTAGTTCAAGCTCAGCTTAAAATCGATGACAGCCTCACAAACCTAGGACAGGCTTTGCATATATCCTGGCTATTGGGGAATTCTGGCAAATTTGTAAATGATAGAGTTGAAGATATCATTGTTCAAGCAGATGAGGTCGATGGGAAACTGTTACAATGGGAGGGAGGCTTAACCACCACCTCTTTGCTGTTGACTGGGTTGCACAAATTGCCTGGAGTTATCCCATTGACACAAGAGCAAGCTGATAAGTTTGCAAATTACCTTTTGACAAGAAAAACAGTACAAACACCACGAGGTAAGTCATACTACAATTTAATTTGGTAACAGAGCTGAAGGTAAGAATATTCTGGGCACAGGTATTTCTGCACTGCTCGAAGCTGCCAACGCTCTTGCAAACAGCAAAACATCTCCTGTGTCAGTATCTATATCAGGGCCGGCCCAAGTTAGTGTTGACAAGCCCGATTTGAAAATACAAGTCAGCAACTTATTTGGGGTGGCATTAAAACCCGCTCTTACACCTGTAGTGGCTCACTCTGCTACCAGAATTACAGATGATGTTGTGGTATTAGCCAAACAGGTCCTCACAGCAGGCATTAAGGCTACAGAGTTTATTTTACCCTTAAAGTGAGTTTTCTTATTATTAATTAAAATTAGTCAATTTTTCATACACCAATAGGAGTAATTGTATATAATTTCTGTAATCAATATTTAGGGTTGAGCCAGGACATTACAAAATTGTTATAAATGCGGGAGTACATACTGCAACTGTAAAGGCCAGGGTTTTGGGGTCTGTAGAGGTAAAGAATTTTGAAATTGGTTTATCAGACAGTGATGGTAGCTTGGCGCCAAAAATGGCGAAACTGAATTACCCCAACAAGCTGGCCGCGAAGTTACAGGGTGATGCTGGACAGCAGTTGCAGATCAAATTTGGACTCTCAAGACCTGTATGATAAATTTAAACATTACAGGGGTTGAGTATAAAGGAGTTATCAATTACAGGTCCATCAGGCATTTGTGAGATTATCTTCACTCAATAAAGAAGTGATCTTTGTAGCCGAGCAAGACACCAGCAAGTTGTACAAGGTAGAAATCAATTTAGGACAAGAACTCTCAGGTTCTGGACTTTATGATATTGAATTTATCATAGGAGATTCGATTATATCTAATCCTTTCCGCTGGAATGTGGGTACTATTGAAATTAATCTAGGTGCAGCTAGCCCCACGCCTCCCAAAGCTGTTAAAGGACCCAAGCCTGAAATTGAACACATGTTCCGACCAGCGGAGAAAAGGCCTGCAAAAACTGTTTCATTACTTTTCACTGGCCTTACGGCAGCACCGTTGTTAGTTTTGCTTATTTTGTGGAGCAAAATCGGCACCAATTTTGGCAACTTTACCATCACAGCAGTTCCATTCCACTTAGGTTTCGGTTCGATTTTAGGGCTTTTCACCTTGTTCTGGTTAAAGCTGGACATGTTTACTACCTGTGCCTGGTTAATTCCAATTGGTGGGTTTACCTTCTTCTCGGGCCACAAATTATTAAGTCATATGGCCAGGAAAAGAAAGCCAGAGAAGACTGATAAATAAAAAATATTATTTCAAGAGGGTTTTGTGATGGTATAGGTTTGTTTTTAATGAAATATTCAGTTAACATGCGGCAGTATAGATTTATTTATAATTTTTATAAAATTTTTCGTCATACAACAGCTATCATCATTTTCTCCGCCACATTGTAAGAAATAAATTTGCCGTTTATAGTTGAAACTTTATTTAACCTAACCTATACACAAATAATTTAAACTTAGAACTATATAGACCTATATGACAGAGGGGCTGTATTTAACAAATGTGGATTCTGTTTTACTCTTACTATATACTCTTCAGCCATGGAACAAGCTTGTTCGATCTCATAGTTGTGGGATACCAAAGCCACCCACTTGGCTTCCAAATTCCTTAATTGTTCTCCTCCTTTGGTTTGCAGAGATTTCCTCTGCCAATTAATTTCCTGCAAGGCATGCCTTAAGTTGGCCAGTTTTTTTGAAGCAAGTTTTTCCATGTCCTGCAAAGTTTGCAAATATCTTTGCCAAGCAGGACAACAATATTCCATCATTAGCTGTAAGTTTAATATTCTAACTGCTTGGTGCTCTAACTGGGCTTGAGAATTGTCCACACACTCTGTCCAGGCGTTTAGTTCATTGAGTTTCCCGCTTGGTGGAGGCGGTAATTCATAGCGTTTCATTGAGATGGTTTCCATTGGCAGACGATTTTGAAGCCTTTCAAATTCGTTATGCATAATCTGGGTCTCGAAAGATGAGACATTTAAAGGGGGTAAGTGCTCCAAATAATTTTTTGTCGGTCGATACCTTCTGCATTCTTCTTCAACCATTGCAAATGCCTACAATTATGCGGTTTGATATGAAAATTATTTAAGAGAGTACCCATAGAACTTACCGCTTCTCGTACTCCTGGTTCATCGTACCCTTGGTCAATGTATGGCAACGCGTCGACAACTACTTCCCCAGCCATGATTGAGTATAACTTAAGCTTACAAAATGAATTAACTATTTTTATGGTTAAGACCATAGAAAGGGAAATTGCATGGGTTCCTCTTCCTTTTTGTGATAAGCCAACTTCGTTACACTCTGGTAGTAACCTATACCATGATTTTGTCGGGGGCATTGCACATGGCGGTTTAACCTCCGTTCGCTCCAGATAGAATCCGTTGTAATCATCCCCAAATTTTTGATATTGGTTCCAAAAGAAGAGTGTTTTTTTTCTGAGTGTTTTGTGAATGTTTTAAAGAGATAATTGTTGTCGGCTTCGTTGTTTTTGCTTGTTCACGCCGGTACAGAGGCCGGATAGGTCCGGTTTGTCAACGGGGGTCGCGGGGGAGACCGTTTTTTGCTCTCGGTTAAAGATACTTGTTTGTTGAAACCCATTTTGTGTATATTAATCAACCTGGATGGATGATGGATTGGTCCAGACTCTTCTTCTAGGAAGGAATTCTTCCGCATTTTTGTATTATGTTCACATTTGTCGTAAGCTGGCCGAATGACCTAATGTAGTTGTGGCCATTAGAAGTAAATGTATTACAATCCAACCTCTACTGGCTCCCGACAGAATCTCTTGTAGTCCCTAAAAAACTTGAAATTGGTTTCCACTGTGTGGCTTTTCCGTCCACGCCGGTGGAAGGCCGGTCAAAGTACCTTTCTTTTTTGAGAACCTATTTAGTATATATTAACAAACCTGGAGAATGATGGAATGGTCCAGACCCTTCTCATATAACGGCATCCCTTAGGATTTTTGAATAATGTTCGCTATTATTGTAAGCTGGCCGAATGACCTTATGTCATCGTGGCCATTGAAAGGAAGTAAGAAGAAAATCCTACACCATGGAAATAAGAAATAATAACTTTTTCTATGATTATTTCTTTTGCTTTCCATGGTTGATTGTCATCTATGGAAAACAAAATTTTCGTTTCAGTGTTTCCATCTCCACTAATCTTCAGAACGACAAAGTATTTTTGATGATGCAGTTTTATTTGAAACAAATAATAAAACAGTGTTATTAATTGATCTTATTGTATTTATATAATAGTACCTGATTTTACTTTTACTTTAAAAGGAGTTTTAAAATGTCCGAGCAACCCGACGATTTAGAAACAACTTTGATGTTAGCAGCCGCAGCTGCTGATTCTAGGCAGTTTGCGGATCAGAGCGAAAACAATGATAGTGCAAGTGCACACTTTACTGATCAAAATGACCAGTCCAGGTCTGATAATGAATGGAATAAAGACAGTGATGAAGAAAAGGTTTGCATACAAAATAGTGTGAAAGAAATAAAAATTGTGGAGACGACAAATCGGCGTGAGAAGAGAAAGCGGTCAAGAGACGAGAAAGAAATTGATATTCCTAATAAATTACAAAAATCCATACAGGGTTTTTCACATATTGTGGCTACCCACTATAACCAACTGGAAGAAAAGGGATTAGATGAAAGGTCAAAGTCCCGTATAATTTATTTAAGAAATTTTCACAATTGGATAAAAAGTATGTTAATAAATGAATACCTGACCTACATAAAGAGTGGCAAAAAACAACATAATGCACCTCTGAGGGTACATGATATGGGATGTGGCAAAGGTGGAGATCTCCATAAATGGAAAAAAGGTTCAATCACTCATTTAACGTGCAGTGATATAGCAGGCATTTCTTTGGAACAGTGCAAAGCTCGTTACCAGGATATGGTCAACAGATCTCTCAAGGAACGAGGTGGTGGTAACATGTTTTCTATAGAATATATTGAAGGAAATTTCACAAAAGTTAGATTGAGAGAAAAATACTCTGATCCTTCTATGAAATTTGATTTGGTGAGCTGCCAGTTTGCTTTTCATTACAGTTTTGAGACTTTACCCCAAGCTGAATGTCTGTTTAGAAATGCTGGAGAATGTCTCCAACCTGGTGGCTTTTTTATTGGCACAATGCCTGATTCAAATGAACTGATAGCTCGCGCTGCTAAGTCTAAATCAAACTCTTTTGGTAACAGTGTATACAATGTCAAATTAGACTTTGACTTTAATCACCCACCTTTGTTTGGTGGCAAATATGATTTCTATCTAGATGGGGTGGTGAATTGCCCCGAATTCCTGGTGCATTTCCCAACATTTGTAAAGCTGGCAAAAAAATATGGTTTAAAATTGGTGAAGAAGGAAAAGTTTTACAACTTCTTCAGAAGGATGGAATCTGAGGGCCGCCAGCTGCTGACCACAATGAGAGGTTTGGAAACATATCCACCTCCCAATGGTTGCGATTTAGTTGGCACAGCTGCAGATGATTATACTCATGCCAAGGAATTTATGAAAAATACTGATAATGATAAAGTCAAATTAGGAACTTTATCAAAATCTGAGTGGGAGGTCTCATGTAAGCTTTAAGGCAAGTAGGTTATTTGCTATATGTTACTAGATTACTTTTTAGCCCTCTACATCACATTTGCCTTTGAGAAAGCAAAGAATACTTGGAATTCTGATGGAACACCTTGCTACAAAATTTGATTACGTAATCAAATTGACAAGCTTTTTTGTGGACATGATAATTATTTATTCATTTTATACATTTGTTAAAGTATAAAATCACTGTAAGTGTACTTACAGGGTAATGGGACTGAAAATTTCTGAAAATAGATATGAGAAATATTTTGTAAATACTTTAGAGATACATTGAAATAAAAATAGTACAAAAATTTAATAAAATCTTTTAATACCGTAAATTTTCATAGGCATTTTGGCACAAAAAAAAAATATATTAACTGACATGTCTAGGCTAAATTACTTATATTAGAATTTTATATATTTTTTAGTAAATATTAATTTCCAAATAGTACAAAAAAGGCAAATTAAATAAACCTTTGCCGCACAATTTGATCTTAAAGCTGCAAAAGAAATGGTAAAAATTTTAGGCAGAAAAGATCTCTCGACACATTGTTTAGTCAAGTAATACCATCAAATGCTGAAAAGGTAATTTTTTTGGCCACTGTCTAACAATGATCTAGGTTAAGCTAACAGACTACAACACTAACCTTGATATTAAAATATTCACGGGTCCGAAACTAAATTCGCAAATTATTCGTCACCTTTTCATAGGTGAACGTTCTAAAAGTTGAAACAGATAAATTGACCATCCAATAAATAAATCATTTTTGAATTCAAGCGGGAATAGGTGAATGCTCTCGTTAACGCCTGCGTACTTAGCTCATTTTGATACTTTGTCGTTAACGTCAGTAGATTTGCCGTTCGCTTGTGCTTAGAGAAACGGCAAAGTCTGGTTTATGAGGTGTTAGTTTTTAGTGCAATCTGCGTGGTTATGGAGGTCGAAAACTCTGCCGTCGATGGGGATTCGAATCAGGTAAGTAGACACTTTTTCTTGATATTTTATTTACAACATTTCTACCTAAGCAAAATTTCATAATACCTCGTGGTAGTCGCGTTTTACTGGTGGACATTCTCCACATTTTCGACCGAAATTTTTCTAAGTCCCAAAATGGCGTCAGATTCTAAGTCCCACGTATCATGTACGAGTACAAAGCACGAGATTTTGTTTTCGAATTTTTGGTTATTTTTGATTGATCTCGAGTTCTCAAATGAGCAGAATGAATTAAATTATAAATTTTATTACCTTATATGGTGCTTTTTTCATTGATATATATGTATTTCCAGAGTAATAGAGCCAAAGAACATAATGGTGAAGATTTTAATAAATACATGAATGGAATAAACGGTTATTCTGACAAAAGCAAGAGCCATAAATCAGATCACAAAGATAAACATAGAGATAAAGATAGGGATAAGGATAAACATAGAAGTAAAGAACATAAGAGCTCCAGTAGGGATAAGGATAAGGAAAAACATTCCAGTTCAAAAGAGAAGGACAAAGATCGACATAGCAGTTCACATAAATCATCAAGCAAAGACAAAGATAGGGAAAAAAGTAAAGATAAGCATCGGGACAAAGAAAGGGAAAAAAATAAAGACAAAGAGAGAGACCAGGATCGTCATAGAGATGATAAAAAATCTTCAAGCTCCAGTTCTTCTAAAGATAAGGACAGGGATCAGAAAAGTTCAAAAGAAAAGGAGCATAAATCAAGCTCGCGTGACAAAGATAGGGATAAAGAGAAGCGTGATAAAGATAAGGAGAGAGAACGTGAAAAAGAGAGGTCTAAAGAAAGTTCTTCAAAGGACAAGGATAAGTTAAAGCACAGTGGTTCTAAGGATAAGCACAGAGATAAGGATAAACATTCTAGTTCGAAAGATAAGGATCGGAAAGATAGAGACAAGGACAAAAAGCACAAGAAGGACAAAGAAAGGGATGTGACAGGTAATTTAGTTGTTTAGTTTTTGACATGTGTCATTGGAGAGAAATATAACAAATTCAAGTCTAAAATTTTTTGTTTTAAAATTATTTATCCAAAGTTCTAATGATTTTCGATAATAGCCCATATTGCCTAAAATATCTTCATGTCATTAAACGTAAGTGGATGTTAGTATTAAGTATAATGAGAAATAGTAAATATTTTAAATCAGATATTGCTTAATTTTTAATTGTAGAGACATCTCAAATAGCTGAAATTGAAGAATATAACCTGGGAATGGAAATAAAGCAAGATTATTCCAGTCAACAAATCAACTATAAGCAAGAAGATGCTAGTACTGATGATGATGATGACAAACTTATTATCAAAGATGAGCCATCTAGCCAAGATGAAGCAGAAGCTCCCAATAATTTTTCTCAGGCCAGCAGTTGCGACTATAATATGTCCCAATTTGACCGCAATGAATCTGCCTTTGAATATTCTGACGAGGAAAGAAATGGTAATTTAGAAAATAGTCAGGATGAGGACTTTAAAGTGAAGCAAGAGAAACAAGAAGAAGACAGTGAGGAAGATATTCCTTTGGCTTCGAGAATGTCCAATTCAAAAAGAAAATTGGAATCAGAGGAGGAGGAAGATGATGAGGATGATGTGCCCCTCATGGCAAGAAAGAAGATTAAAAAGGAGAAAAGTGTGAAAAAAGAGAAAAGTAAGAAAAAGCGAGATTTATCGGAAGATGAGGATGTGTATTGTAAGCCTGAGAAAAAAAAGAAAATTAAAAAAGAAAAGGGGAAAGTGAAACAAGAAATCAAGACTGAAAATGAAAGTCCTAAAAAGAAGAAAAAGAAAGAGGAAGACGAACAGGAAGTTTGGAAATGGTATGTATGAGGTATTTTATTATTTTAAGGAAAAAAGTAAGTTTTGGCCAAAATTTTATCTTCTGAGTTCTATTTTAAAATTCCCGGGCCTTTACACTTAGAGGGCACCACATGAGCTTATTGTCAAACGTCATTCAGGCACAAATAACAATGGCGTGAGGAATGTAGCATTTTTGAAATTGGATTGATTTCATCTAGTTTAAACTATGAAGTGGCCTGCAATATGGAATTACTTAAAAAGTACTAGAATAAAAATTGATCGCTTAAGCGACTTGCATAGTAGACATCCTTTTTATAAGGACGTGATTGTTTTTAAAGTGAGGTTAGAACTTGATTCCGTAAATGCAAAATCTGGTATTAATATAAATGATGGTAATGAGATTACCTCCTATGATCGTGATATTTTATATAACTTATTACCAGAACCTCTGGATGGGAGTTTAAAATCGGTAGTTCAAACTAGAAAAGAGGGTTTTAGCAATTCAATTATTCAACATAGAAAGGTTCTGAGAAGGTAAGGTTGTTTTGTTTAATCGGTAAAGCATGTAAATTAATCAAATCTTGAACTCTTTGTATTCAGAAATGTATTCTTCAGGCAAGTAAATTTTTGGTTGGTGAACCTCTGTCTTGAATCTTGTAAACCAAATTCCAAATTTGCACTATTGCTCATGGTATTGAGCATTTTGCCACTATCTCCTAATATTGCCACTGATTTCACAGTATTTTCCATGCAAAAAACCATTTTTTCACAGTATTGGCTAAGCTGAAAACCTGACAACTAAATCACGAGTGAAATCTGGTGTACCAGCTATGTGAAATTCGTAAAATAAATTTTTAAACAATTTTCATCTTAAAATAAAAAACAAATTAAATTTTTTGAAATTTCTATATTGTTGAAATGCCTATTTTCAAGGTATTTCTAGATTGTGTGGCATTTTTTAAAGCTATAGGTTATAAAGCAAAAGATAAGGTCGTAAAAAATATGTTGTCTCCATTTGAAAACAAAATCCGGTGTTTTCGTTTCTATAAAAAAATTATTTAATGAAAGGGATTTTTTTTAATTCAAAAATATATTTTTTATATCTGGTTTGAAATTTTATGGGTTTTATAAAAGTTATATTTATTCACTAAACACTGAATTCTGATAATATTCTTTCCCACTTTTTGAAAACAGTTAAGCGTATTTTTTATTTCCGACAGATAATACAAAAAATTATTTTTTAATATGGATTTTTTATATCTGGTTTGAAATTTTATGGGTTTTATAAAAGTTATATTTATTCACTAAACACTGAATTCTGATAATATTCTTTCCCACTTTTTGAAAACAGTTAAGCGTATTTTTTATTTCCGACGGATAATACAAAAAATTATTTTTTAATATGGATAAAATCTGTAATATTATTTAGAGATCTTTGTGAAATCTAAAATCAGGAAATTCGTGAAATCTGTGAGATTTTATGGTTGTGTGAAATCTGGTGTATTAATGTTGGGTGGTGATTTGTCCCTCGTGAAAACTTGTCACTTTTTGAAGTTTCTATTTCGATCTTTCTTAAAAGGGACTAAAGAACAACAATATGTTTATAAGAACTTTCTACCTTAAAATCGATTATAGAACAACACTTTTTGCATTTAATTTATTTAATGAAAATTAAATGTATTTATTTTGTTATAAAAATACATTTTTATTCTGATTTAAAATAAGCTGTCATTCCCACAAAACTTCACAAAAACTAGTAGGGCTCAGAATTTTTGTATTGTAAATATGATTCAAATGTGATAACATTTGAGAAATTTGAGTTAATTTTTATATGTTTGACAGATGCTTCTCAAAATTCAACATAAAACCTAATGGATTTATTTTTCACAAAAACAGTGAACAGTAATTTCCTTTTCCACAAATCTTTCTTCATCTTTGTCTTCTGCTATCCAGAGGGAAAACAATTGGGTTTGAACTTAGCCAATGAAAATTCGAGCCAGCCAGCATTGTCCTGATATATTATTTAGCTACTTAAATTAATCTGAAAAAATAAACTGAGTATTATTAGGTATTTTATTCCCTTCCACTAATTAAAGGGTTTAGTGGATTATAATTCATAAAACCATGCACAAAGAGCATTAAAGTATTTAAATCACAACTTGTGAACACTGTATAAGTGGAAAACTTTTACCTAAGGTATTTTTTGTTTCACCTATATTTTTTATAATAATTGTGGACTTTTTACTCAGACTGTATATGCTGACTAGATGGAAATTATTTTTAATTATTTCAACTCTGTAAAATAGATGAAAATGTTGTGTTTGGAAGCGACTCAAGGTTTTTTGTGGTCTCTCCTTAGGTGGGCTTAGTGTCTGAAAATTGAAATGGTATTTGTTTGTAGTAGGGTTCACGATAATCAAATTAATCATTAGGTAAGTTTGTTGTGCCAGTCATATACCATTTGCTTTGTCCTATACTTTAAAAATGGTTATTTTAATATCTATATATCAAAAACGAAATATACTTTTGCAATATCTACTGTGATATAACACTGAGTGGGATTGAGTGAGTCTCTTCTCAGTTGAATCAAATGATACCACGAAAAACACAAAGTATGTTTGGTAATATTGCTATTTTTTTGAGTGTTGCCTCTGATTTGCCATTAATGGTCATAGTATTACTGTATTTTACATTCTATTGTCACCATATTTTCTGGTATTCTACATCAATTTCCATCAGCTCATTTACCCCTTGTAAATTTTAGAAACAATATTCTTTTAGGTGGGAAGAAGAGAAGAAAGATGACGGAGTAAAATGGAATTTCTTGGAACACAAGGGGCCCGTGTTTGCCCCTCCATATGAACCCTTGCCTGATAACGTAAAATTCTTCTATGACGGTAAAGAGATGAAACTCAGCCAAGATGCTGAGGAGATTGCCGGATTTTATGCGAAAATGCTTGACCATGATTACACAACCAAAGATGCCTTTAATAAGAACTTTTTCTCGGATTGGAGGAAAGGTAATTCTACCATTATCAAATTTGCAGCATATATGGGAAAAATGGTTTCCATTTTACATTTACAGCGATGACATCAAAGGAACAGGAGGTGATCAGGGATTTGAGAAAGTGCAACTTTAAACAGATGCACGCTTACTTCATGGACTTGGCAGAAAAGAACCGGAATCGCACCAAGGAAGAAAAAAAAGCATTGAAAGAAAAGAATGAAGAAATGGCCAAGGAGTATGGCTTTTGTGTAATAGACGGACACAAGGAGAAGATCGGAAATTTTAAAATAGAACCGCCCGGCTTGTTCAGGGGCAGAGGTGAGCATCCGAAAATGGGCAAACTCAAGAGGCGCGTCGAAGCTGAAGATATCATAATCAACTGTAGCCAAGATTCGAAAATTCCCGAGCCGCCAAAGGGGCACCGGTGGCGGGAAGTTAGACATGACAACAAAGTGACCTGGCTCGCGTCTTGGACGGAAAACGTGCAGAACCAAGTGAAGTACATAATGTTGAACCCCAGTTCGAAGCTAAAAGGCGAAAAGGATTGGCAGAAGTACGAGACCGCGCGGAGGCTGCACAAGTGCGTCGACAAGATCCGGGAAAATTACCAAGCCGATTGGAAATCTAAAGAAATGAAAGTTCGTCAACGGGCGGTCGCTTTATATTTTATCGATAAATTAGCCTTGAGAGCGGGCAACGAAAAGGACGAGGACCAAGCGGACACGGTAGGCTGCTGTTCCTTAAGGGTTGAGCACATTGAGCTCCACGAAGAAAAGGATGGCAAGGAATATGTTGTGGTGTTTGATTTCCTTGGTAAAGACTCGATACGTTACTATAACGAGGTCCCCGTTGAGAAGCGCGTGTTCAAAAATCTCACACTCTTCATGGAAGGGAAGAAGAACGGCGACGACCTCTTCGACAGGTGAGCTTTGTCATTGAGATGTTCTGTGAACAGTTAACATGACCCGACATAAGATTAAGCTATAAAAAAACCATCTCGACATTAGTATACATATTTTAATCTTTGAAGTTTATTTTAAAATTTTTGGGGAGGCCACCATTTGGCATCTCATACAATTGACCGACAAATTTGTGTTGTGTGATGAAAAATTTACTGGTCAATAGTAATAGTCAATTTTATTTACTGGGGTAAGATATTCTAATTAACAAATTCGCAGTAGTTTCATTTAAAATGCTAATGGAACAATAGAACAAAGCAATGAGGATAGAAGAATAAATTTAAAATGAAGGAAGCTGCCTTCAAAATTTTAAAAATGTCTTGTCTTGAATGTGGTTTTCGGAGTGAGTGAGGAAACTTTTATCCAAAAAGAAGAAAATGTTTTTTAGTGCATGTTGCAATCTGCTGACATCCTAATGATGCAGTCGGTGTGTCACTTACCATTTTTGTAATAAAAATTAGTTCAAATGAACCAAAACTATTTCACCAAAAACGCTGGGTGTGCAAACCTAGTAAAAAAAAAGATTATTGCAGGAACAATTTAATACAAAATCGTGGCTGCGCGAAGCGTCTGTTCGGTACTGTGCACTTCATAGTTCACAAAGTCGCTACGCAGCTTCGTATTTTTTTTTATTTTGTCCTTTAGGGACGCATTATTTTTCTATCGTGCTCCTGCGGACCACTATGAAACTTTCGCAAAATCCATGTAATAAAGTGTCTTTCACGTCTCACTGAACTTCAAACTTACGGCAAACTTTGAAAAATATGAAAAATTGTAAATTGTAACGATTCCCAATTATATTTTTTCCAGTATCTCGCGCACCCTTTATGATTTACAAAACCTGAAACTCTCTTACTACAGTTTTCTAACACAGCCTACTGTAATACTATTTATAAAAGTTCTAGATTCCTCCTGCGTCAGTTATTGTTGAGTTGAACTTGCTAACGTTTCGCCAATCATCCTGAAACTGTTTTCAGTTAAGCGCTGAAGAAGTCAATAGGTTTATTGGCGAAATGTTAGCAAGTTCAACTCAACAACAAATGACGCAGGAGGAATCCAGAAGTTTTGTAAATAGTATTACTGTTTAAACCAAATTATCCCATGTTTTGTTATCCACGAAAAAGGTAATTTTCACGATCTTTTAGATTTTTTGCATATTACCGGCACACCCTGAAAGAATTTTTCCAACAGAGTAAATGGTTTTTGAGAAAATAATTTCTTTCTGAAACCATGCAGTACGTCCTAATAGCAAATGGCGTTATCACTTCTAGATTGAATGCGAGATATAGCGACTGTCACATGGACTTTTTCAAATATCTCGAGAAAGGCGTATGTTAGGCGAAAACCCTAAATACAAAAATTTTAGCTCTTGATGCGACCTATAACAGTGTTTGAACCGAATAGCCATATTGTTTGTAAATTTTGATTTACGGTTAATAATTTGCTCCAAAAAACAACAATTTTTGAGGGTCTTTTAGATTTTTGTCCATTACTATAACACCCTATATATAAAAACATGTTTTTCAGGAAGCCAAAGTAAAAAAAAATCTAAAGATTTTAAAAAAATGCTTGGTGATATTTGATTGCACCCAATTTCTACTGCTTTAATTTATTCATGAACTTTTACTTCTCTACTACACTTAACACATTTCTTATATATCACGGAATATCGGGAACACCCTGTACAATAGGTGAAAACCTTAAATACAAAAATTTTAGCTGTCTATACAGGCTAGAGCGTCATATAAAAGAAACTAACACTTAAAACAGTCTTTTAGTTATAGCCAATTTCCAATAATAGGGGGACACATTGTTTAGTTTTTTTGAATATGCGGCGCACCCTGTGCATTTTTGAAAAATTGCCAATAATAAAAGTTTATGGAGCCGAATCTTCTGTCTTCCCGTTCAAGATTTTTTTCGGTTGCGTTAACGATTTTCGAGCAATGATTTTTTTCTTTTTTTCTCCGACCCCCAGTTTCAATAGGCGTCGTTAGAGAACTTGGCTCCATACGTGTGTTAAATTTTAAGTGGATAGCATCAAATTGCGGACACTTATCTTGTTTCATAACACTGTTCCAAAAACAGTAAAAAAAAAAAAAAAAATAGATGAACGCCGGAGTTTGAACGTTCCATTTTCTATTGACTTGTGTCTGGTGCGCGGTTTAGAAGGAGCCAAATCTGACCGCCGTTGGTCAAACAGTTATTAAGAAGTTATTGTAAAGGAAAATAAATTTGAATTAATAATTACAAATTTCATAATGCAATTCCTTCTCCTATGTTGTTGCTTTAGGTTGAACACGTCGATAATGAACAAACATTTGAACGATCTGATGGAAGGCCTAACTGCCAAAGTGTTCCGTACTTACAACGCCTCGTGGACGCTCCAACAGCAGCTAGATCTGTTGACCAACGAGGACGACACCGTCGCCGAAAAGATCCTCTCATACAACAGGGCAAACAGGGCGGTGGCCATTCTTTGTAACCATCAACGGGCGGTGCCAAAAGGCCACCAAAAATCAATGGAAAAGCTGAAGGAGAAGATTCAGGATAAGAGGACGCAGATAAAGGAAGCGGAACGGCAGGTGAAGGATGCGCAGCGGGACGCCAAACACGGTAGCGTCAAGGAGAAGGTCGTATATGATAAGAAGAAGAAAATGTTGGAGAGACTCAAGGAGCAGCTCACCAAGTTGGAAATTCAGGTACTTTGCGGTTTGCAGTATAAGTATAAGGGTACTTGTCTTGTATTCATATTCATTAAAACACAATGATTAACGCTTGAGCACGAATTTTCAAACTACTATCAAAATGGGAAGAAAAATGTTCACTTTATTGATGGTATCTTAATTTATATACTGGGTGTTATTTTATAGATATCTGAGATTTCACAGGGTGATTTCTGAAGTATTTTTAAAGTAAAAAGATACTAGTGGGTTCTGCCCACTTTTATTTTGAGATCGGCTGTTATTTTACAAAAATTAAATCTTTAATACAGTCTATCTTGAAAACGAAACATTTTAGAACACATATTATTTTGATTTATTGAATTTACTTTATTGTTTTAAATCATATGCAATCACACAACGTCCAAACCTAAAATTCCAATTAAAATAGCAAGTTAATAGTGCAAAATTAAAAATTGAAAGCTATTGAGTTTTGGTGGATTTTGATTGGTTCATTAGTATGTGACCATTTCCTTTATATGTTTATCGCAGTCCTTTATATCTTGAATATTCATTTATTAACTCATTGATTTAAAAAAAAAAAACAAATTTGTGCATTGAAAGATAGTATGCAGAAGAAGCTGCGAGTACATCAAGCTTTTTAATAAAGCGCTTTTGTCCTAGGAATTTGCAAATGTGAAGAATCCTAAGGTTTTTTTTTTCGCAGCTTAAGGGTTTGATCTAGTTGGATTCCTAAAAAGTTTACATTTTCGGCAATAAGTATTGGATCCCAGACCACACTTGAAAAGTCTACCCTTAAATTTTGGTTTGCACAGCATTTACCCATCTCACACACTGTGAATTTATCGGACATTTATTAAAGTAATACTTAATAAAATTGCTCGCAGGAGACGGACAGGGACGAAAACAAAACGATCGCTTTGGGCACCTCGAAACTGAACTATCTCGACCCAAGGATAAGCGTCGCGTGGTGCAAAAAATACGGCGTCCCCATCGAGAAAATTTACAACAAGACGCAACGCGACAAGTTCCGGTGGGCGATCGACATGGCCGGACCAGATTACCGCTTCTAAGGTGGGACACGCCCCCTTCGCGCCGGTAAGACTCACTGCGGGACAATACGCGGCGGACAAAGTGTTAGGCAATTAGTAATAGGAAAAATAATTGGACGATAGTTGTAATTTCTTTGTGGGTGGCTAACCAAACGAACCCCTATCGAATTTACGAAGGAAAAGTGAGCGTAATATACAGTGCTTATAAAAAGTGTGGAAAGATGTATATCGTTTTATGAAAAAATATCGTTGGTCATGGAAAAGTGGTGAACGCACATTTTCCTCAGGTCAACGAATTCGTTGCCAAGGAAAATATCAAATTAGCAAAAAATAATGCATATAGTTTTCATCGTTCATGTGCGGGACGAAGCATGCCGACGATCCAAAAATAATCTTAACATAATCAGGAAGATACATCCAAATTCATCTACAATCATGCTGCAAGCGGGGAAAGAAATAGGAGCACAGAAATTTTTTATTTTATAATTGTGAAGAGGCTATGGGCTTGAGGACATGCTAATGGGTTTGTTCACCTAATCGGTGCACGAAACAGTTTCTTAGTATTTATTGGGTCTTGCTACCCCTTAAAAATGTTTTTATTATACATAATATTGAATGGGATCTTTGGTCCGTCAACACTGATTAATACCAAATTTGATGGTTTATTTTTTATGAATTTATTTATTTATTGATAAAATTTAAGTTAAGTAAATTGAATTTCACAATTCGAAAGTAAAATTAAATCTAATCGAACATTTCACAATACCTGGGAATATTTCCATACTTTTGACTCGCACGTATATTAATCGTTTTTTTTTTTTTTTTCGACTTCTCGATTAAACTTTATCGCGTCGTGCAATAAGGGGGAGAATTTTGGTTCAAGTGATGACTCGGTTAGCGTCACAGGACCCCACCCCCACCACTCCCGCTCCGTTGTTCCGCCAAATTATTTAAGGTTAAATTATTAGCGAATGTGATTTAAAAAAAAAATTATCAACCGATTATATTACAAAAATGTCGAAAGTGTGTCGTGTAATATGAATAAAAGTGATTGTACAAAAAAGAAGTGAAACAACCATCGGATATCATTTTTACCACTTTCTATTTTCATTATGATTCCTTATTATTTTAGTGATTGTATATTTTATAATCGTTCGGGTGGACCGCGTTTTATGTACTTGACAACTTCATTTTTCAAGAAAAAAAAAATGTTTACTGTAAAGTAAAAAGTATTGTGTAGAAGTCTGTATATTACAGATTTTTGTCTAAATAAAAGCACCTTGCCAAAACGTTAAGGTTTTTAATTGTCCTCATTTGCTAAAAAGTAGAACAAATCCTTGACTTTCTTAATTTGATTGTTTTTTTTTTTATTATCTAAACAAGAGTCATTTTAGTTAGAATTATTGAACTATGAGTGAAAGGAAATAGAGTATTTTCTTAAGCATATTCACCTGAAAATGGAAACAACTTTAGATTCTTATTTAAGGTGGAAAAGTTATTGTGTAAGAAAGCAATTTATCAAACCGAAGTAGCCTGCGGAAGAATGAATTATTTATACAAGGAGCCCCAGAAGTAGCTTTTGTGATAACATGACCCAACATGGTTGTGAGGTTAAAAATTTTAACTTTGTCATGTTTTTTCTGTCATTATGTATTTACTAGGTTAGCGGGAAAAGAATAAGGAGTGCATATAACTGAAAATAATATATTATAAAGCAGTTAACAAAAGAAGGAAGTCAATTGAAAAAATTAACATCACTCAATTCTGGAGGCATAAATCCAAACGTTTCCCCTTCCTTCAATCGACCATAACCTGCAATAAAAACATACCAGAAAATAAATAACAGTCGAGGAAATGACTGGACTGGAAAATTGTAACAATTTCTTACCCAATTCCTTCATAAGTTTGGTGGGAGCATTTCTAATATGCATGGGCACCGCCGGCTGAGGTCCTTTAAAGGTGTTAATCACGTTTTTAGCTTTGGTCAGAGCGGCATCTGCCTCCCGAGATTTGGGAGCTCTTGCCAAATAAATAGCGCACTGCGCAAGCAACACATCTGATTCAGGCATGCCCAACAATTGGCAACCTTGCATAGTACTTACGGCCAGTTGGAGGGCGTTGGGATCCGCGTTTCCTGTTTGAACAAATCAATTCTGATCTAATTAAACTGCTAATCTTGCCAGGTAGGTACCTATATCCTCGCTGGCAGCTCTCACCATCCGTCTCGCGATGTACCTTGGATCTTCGCCACTGACGATCATTCTTGTGGTCCAGTACAGTGCGGCATTTGGGTCGGAACCTCGTATAGATTTATGCATGGCTGAGATGATGTTGTAGTGTTCTTCACCCGTTCTATCATATAACATATGAGATTTCTACAAAGGTTTAAAATAAACTGAATAGTTTTTGGTACAACCTCTGTTATTACAACCTTGATTTGATTTTCGATGTCTTCCGTTGTAATAATTTTGTCCTTCGTGCTGCTACAATGCTGCAAAGTTAACTGTAGGTTTCCTAAGGCAATCCTTGCATCTCCATCACTTATATCTGCCAGCCATTTTAAAGCTTTTAACTCAATCGCAAATCTGAAACAAATACTTCCTGCTTCGTGGGCCCTTTTGCGTAAGAAAAATTAATTTTTTTTTTATAGCTTAATTACCTTTTTTTTGTAAGAAAAACTTATACAAATCTAAAGTTTGATTTGTTGTCAAAAAACATTTAACTAACTCGCTAGCCTTCAAATCCTACTTAAAACTCAAACAGTTAAGACTGTGAAAAACTTGTAATTTTGCCCATAAAACAAAATAAATACCCATTTGATTCATCCTTAATAACACGGTAAGGATTATCGACATCAATGATATCGACGTCTAAAGATTCTGCAGCATTTTCCAATATGGAATACAAGTCATCAGACTCAAGTTTTTCCATTACAATTACCCTACACCGACTAAGCAATGCGGAATTAATAGCAAAAGAAGGATTTTCTGTGGTGGCACCAACTAAAATGAGATCGCCCCTTTCTACACTCAAAAGAAATACATCTTGCTGCTTTTTATTAAAACGATGAATTTCATCCATAAATAATACGTTTCTCTTTCCAAACTTGAGGTCATTTTTCGCAAGAGCTACAATATTGGACACATCTTTAACTCCACAAGCTGCTGCACATAAAGAGGTAAACTTATACTTGGCCGGATTCTTTTTACAGATTTCGTGAATGACTCTGGAGAGAGATGTTTTTCCACAACCAGGTGGGCCCCAAAGTATCATATTCGGTATTTCATCCTTTTCCAACAAAGACCGCAAGACTGTCTCTTTACCCAACACATGATTTTGACCATAAAAGTCATCAAGCGATTTTGGCTGAACCTGTATCCCTAAAGGAACTTTAAAAGACATATCCATAAATTTATGTTTACCAACAAAGCTTGGTGATGCACCTCCTTGTGTCAAGTTATCTTTTTCTAATGAGAAGGGTTCCAACTTATTACTTTTTAATTCTGTTTTTTGAAATAATGGAGCAACTCGCGCGTTTTCTTGGATTTGTCGACCAAAATTGCTGTCTCTGGGAGATTTCTGGGTTATAGTTCGTTTAGGCTGAGTAGAACTAGTTAAATCTGGGGAAGGCGGCCTTTTACGTTTTGGATGCTCTTCGCAATTCAGAAAAATGCATCGGTTTACATGTTTTTCTATTTCGTCAGGTAAACACGGTTTCTCGCAAACTGGACACAACATTTTCTCATTTTCTTTTATTTGCGCTGAATCACCCATAATTTCATCTACAAATTTTAATCAAATATCGGGAGGTTCTTCCTTGTTTACTTATTTTGACTTAGAGGCCACAGCATAGACACTATATTATATTAGTTGGTTACTTTGGCCACAGAAAGTGTTACTTATTTTTTTTCTGTCACTCTTCTCACCAGGGTAATGGCTAAGAACACTGGTTTATTATCAATATGAGAAAATAAATATCTCTTCTATTTTTATAGGTCTGATTACCAATTAGTTTTCAAATTTTCGTCGTGTCCTTACTTTTATTCGCAATGGCATTAGCTGAAAAACTTTATTATTACAATCATTTGGCCAAAAAAAAAGAAGATATTGAAATGGATGGAACGGAAACTAAGGAATGCAGACGTGTCATTTTTGTTTAGAAATTAACATTCCAAGAAATAACCTTCATTTTATTAAGTGTTTTTTTATTTGAAGCCCAAAATGCAGTAACTTGTTATTTAAAAATGGAGACTACAAAAACTAAGAAAGTAAAAAATAGGGCTAAACAAAATGGAGTGGTTTCGTCAGGAGAAAATAAAAATTCGTATACAGAACTGAATGAATATGTGGAAAAAACTGAGGATGACACTAGTATAAAGAACGAAATTAGAAATATAAACTTTAATGATGAAGAGATTTCAAACACAATGAAACACAAGAATTTTTTAAAAGTTAACGTAGAAATTGACACAGTTTCTATTCTGTTATTTATGTGTGGAGTAGCGACCCGAATGTATAAGTTAGAAGAACCCCGAAATATTGTGTAAGTGTCATCAATCATATTCAATCTTTTTTAAATCTTGTTTAATTTTTTTTAGATTTGATGAATTGCATTATGGAAAATATGTCACAATGTATATGAAAAATACATTTTTCTTTGATTCAAACCCTCCCTTGGGCAAACAGTTAATAGCAATTGCTGCTTATTTAGCTGGTTTTGATGGAAAATTTAAGTTTGATAAGATCGGCAGTTCATACAGTGAAGGAGTGCCTTTGATAGCTTTACGTTTTGTGCCTGCATTTTTTGGCAGTCTGTTAGTTCCAGTAGCATATCATCTAATGCTGGAAGTAGGGCTTACTCAGTGGACATCAATTCTAGCTGCATTGTTGTTATTATTGGATAATGCGTTGTTGACTCAAAGTCGGTTCATTTTGATGGAATCTATGTTAATGTTTTTTTCATTGTTTGGAATTTTATGTATTCTAAAATTCAGGACGTATTATGCAAAACCATATAGCTTGGCATGGTTTTTCTGGCTGGCTGCAGCTAGTGTATCATTAACTTGCTCCTTGTGCGTGAAATATGTTGGATTCTATTCATGTTGTTTAGGACTTGCCATTCTATTGAGAGACTTTTGGAAACTGCTTTCACAACCAAAATACTCAGATTTGTTCCTCTGTTTACATTTCTTTATTCAGTTTATAGTCGGCATTTTCGTAGCTGCCTTAGTGTACCTGACAATATTCTATGTTCATTTAAAAATATTGTACAAAGCAGGGCCCCACGATAGTATAATGACAAGCGCATTTCAAGCCTCCCTAGAAGGAGGACTGGCTAGCATTACAAAAGGCCAACCTCTACTTGTAGCTCATGGATCGCAAATAACCCTGAGGTAAGCAATAATTTACAATCTTTCCCCAGTAATTTTTATTGTTTCCATTCAGACATACTCATGGAAGAACATGTTGGTTGCACTCTCATAATGCAGTGTATCCCATCAGATACCCAGACAACAGGGGCTCTAGCCATCAGCAGCAGGTAACATGTTACTTATTTAAGGATGTGAACAACTGGTGGATTGTCAAGAGGCCAGAAAAAAATGATCTTGTCGTTGAACAACCTGTCGATTCCATTAAACACGGTGACACTATTCAGTTAGTACATGGTATCACAAGTAGAGCACTCAACTCGCATGATGTAGCGGCAGCCATGTCACCTCAATGCCAGGAAGTTTCCTGTTATATTGACTACAACATATCAATGCCCTCTCAAAACTTGTGGCGGGTCGAAGTTCTCAATCGAGACCAGACAAATGATGCATGGCACACAATACAGTCCTTAGTTAGACTTATCCACGTGGATACCAACACCGCCTTAAAATTCACAGGAAAACAGCTTCCCGACTGGGGCTATCATCAACATGAAGTTGCTGCTGACAAAGTTATAAGTCAAGATGATACCATTTGGAACGTTGAAGAGCATAGATACACCAAATGTAAGTTAGGTTATGTTTTTCTTATATATCTCTTATATATTCGCCCTTCTTGAAACACAAAATTGTTAATTTTTATTGCCTGACCATTTAACACTTCAAATTCTCAAAAAAATTCAAATGGAGCCCTATAAAAACCTTATCACCAATATTAAAGTTCGCATAGCAGTGATACCAAAATAAAATTGCTAGTGAATAATATTTCCCATCAGTGTTGCCAAACGAAATTTTGTGACATTTTATCCTTAAAGTAGGCGAATTCAAAGGTCTAAATGTTTTTGTTAAAATGTCTTTATACAGCTGAGGATCAGAGAGAACGTGAAAGAGATTTGGTAACGGCAGAAATGATACCCACAGGAGCAACTTCCCTATCTTTCTGGGAGAAATTCTTTGAGCTGCATTACAAGATGATGTTCGTCGGTTCCGAGAATGTCCAAGACCATATGTACAGTTCTGGTCCGCTGGAATGGCCTTTTATGACGCGGGGAATCGCGTATTGGGTGTCTTCATCCAGTAATGTAAGTAGTTTTATTTCGCGTTGTTTGATTGTTTATTTTTTTTTTGTTTCAGGCTCAAATCCATTTACTAGGCAACTTGGTGATTTGGTATTTAGCAACCATTAACGTTTTCGTGTATATCGGACTGTTGGTATTCTATTTGTTGAGACGGCGCAGGCTTTATTACGATTTGGATGATGAAACGTGGCGGGATTTTCAGTTGATCGGTGAAGTCTTCATGGCAGGTTATTTCATTCATTTTTTACCGTACTTTTTTGTTGAGAGGACTGTGTTCTTACATCACTATATTCCCGCTTACGTGTACAAAGTTTTACTGTTGGCGGCGACCATAGAACACATATATATTGTTTTAAAAGATGTGATAATGATAAAATATTTGGCCAATATGTTCTTATTTTTGGTAGTTTGTAGTACTTTTGTCATGGTTTACGTGTTCAAAAAGTTTTTGGTGTTATGTTACGGAACAACTCCTTTAAGTTCCAGTGATATTGTCGACTTAAGGTGGAAGGATAGTTGGGACTTCATTATCCATAAGAATTAAGGTAACGACTGATTTTTTCCAATTTTGGTATTGTTAATTTGAGTCTAAATAGATACACAGACAGAGTGGTTCACGTTGATTGTTCTATGGCGAATTGTGACGAACTACAAAAATTGAATTATGTATATTTTAGTAAATATGGAACATTGTATTTTAAAACAAATTTTTCTCACACAAAATTCTAGCTTGAGTTATCTTCCTACAGCTACCTTTTATAGATTTAAATGGATTAAATAATTAATGTTTATTTTTTGTTCTGTAGAAGTCTCAATGGGAACCCTAGCGTCATCCACCCTGTATATCATAATCAAATTGGTATTTTTTTGTGAATCTCATTTTAATGCAATTCCATTGGTCCAATTTATCCTTTTTTTTTTTAATTATTGGCTTCTCAGTAGAATGGAAAAATGTGAAAAATATATATAATAGGTTATACAACTTTTCAATTTACTGTATTACTTTTGAGATTTTATATACATTGTATGTTGATTATTAAGACAAGATTTTTTTATTTATTATTTTTATATTATATTTTTGTAGTAATTCATGAGAACCAAATAAACTAATTTTACAAAATTGTGATTCATTTATTGAATTAAAAAAAAATTAAACAATTTCCATCTGCTCGGGTTCAACTCTTTTGACACACACATCTTCAATGTCGACAACTTTAGTTGTCAAAACTGCGGTGGCTCCTTTTGGATAACGGTAGGAAGTCTGCTTTTTGCCTTTTTTATTAGCCTCATCGTATGTTCTCTTATAATCAACTCCCCCCTCCCGAATTATGCAAATGTCTACATTTGAGCCAGAACCCAAATCATTGAAGATACCAGCAGCAATTGCATCTCTAACCTTTAAAAAAATATCAATAAATTTCAGGCTCATATAAACACAACTTGACTTCTACCAATTGAACTCCCTCTTCTTCTTCCAAATCGGGTTTCCACCGCGATTCGAAAACGGCCATTGCTGCCAAAGATCCGGACCCCATAGTTATATATGGTAATTTGTCAGTGGAACCGTGAGGATAAATACTGTAAAGGTGGGGTCCTGTAGAATCTACCCCACCCAAAACAAGTGCAGCCCCTATGTAGCCTTGATAACGAAACAGATATTGTTTCAACATTTGATTTGCTGTTGCCACTCGTACGACGCGATTGGTGTACAATCGGTGTAATTCGAGTTGAGAAGCTATCATATGGGTAGTCTGTTCTGTGTCAGCTGCGGTACCAGCTCCACAACAACTATAAAGGAAGATCAATTTCATCTTTAACTAAATTATTGCTGATAGTTTTATAACCTTCAATATCAACTATACTTACTACATGTTCGGAGCTAAGTAGTGGATTTTCTCGCAGTTTTTATCGGCGACCGTGGTATCCTCTGTGGCTCTGGTATCAGCTCCAAGGATAACCCCATTTTTATAGATAATGCCAACAATAGTCGTACCAGTCTTTGTAGCTTTCGGAAGCTGCAACCCTTTCTTTTCTAGTAAACTATTGCTATGAAAATGATTAACAGTTGAAGGGTATCTTATGCAAACTTATTTTGAAAACTATTACCGTTTACAATTATCAAACGAAAATCCTGGGAGCGGTGGTTCGGGACATAAAACGGACGTCATGTTTCTTTCGTGATAGTGTAAGAAAAAAACGTATATATACCTAACCGTTTAAACACCGACTAAAATTGCAATTGTCACGATTGATGATTACTGAATGAAAATGGCACAGGTCAGTTTTGGTCAATCCGAACAACGCAATTCATAGACCATAGAAGATGTACCAATACAGAATGTACTCCGAAACAGATATTTTCATTTCTCAATTAATTTTTCAGTAATTTGGCTAGGTTACTTTTTTATTTTTCATATATGGGGTTGCTAAAACGACAAAAACCAATCAGCAACAAATGCAATTAATTTTTTTTTTCAATGTAATGAAAACAAAAAGGGAGAGCAGTGCAACGGGTCGCCATAACCTCAATATTGTTGTGTAGTAAATAAGACGAAAATATTTAAAATAATTAAAAAATTTAAAATGTTTGCTTGTGCTAAATGTACATGTCATGTTTTTAAATATCGTGTACGACAATGCATTTCAGTAGTTATGATACCTTTAAGCAACACTACACATCCACCTAAGGCCTATGATTTACACTTAAAAATAGGAAATGTATCTTTAAAAAACTATATTTCTAAGATAGAATCAGAATATCAAACCCTCTCTACACAAGAACACTTTACTAAAAGTAAACAGTGGTTGCACCTGCAGCCGGTAATAGGACTTTTAGAGCAACGTTCAAATTTGGTTGACAATTTAGAGAACTTAAAAGAACTGATAAACTCTGGAGACAAGGACCTGTCGAAAATGGCATTGGAAGAAAAAAGCCAATTCGAAAATAAATTACTAGAGCTGGATGAAGAATTACTGGAAGCTTTGCTTCCAGAGGAGAAAGACGATAATTGTGATTCCATTGTTTTGGAAATTCAAGCTGGAGTAGGTGGTCAAGAAGCTATGCTGTTTGCAAAAGAAATGTTTGATATGTATTGTAAATTTATTGTGCACAAGGGTAAATGGTGATTTAAATTGCTTAACTTTTGATAACATTTACCCTTGTTTGTAGGGTGGCAGTATGACATAGCACATTTTCTAACAGTGGATACTGGAGGTTTGAGGCATGCTTCTCTATTAGTTAACGGACCATCTGTGTTTCAATGGTTTAAATATGAAGGAGGAGTTCACAGGGTACAGCGCATTCCAACAACAGAAAAAAGTGGAAGAATGCATACAAGTACAATTTCTGTTGTTGTTTTGCCACAACCCAGTGATATTGAAATAAACATAGAAAGTAAAGACCTAAAAATAGAAACTAAGAGAGCACAAGGAGCAGGTGGTCAGCATGTAAACACCACAGATAGTGCAGTTCGGATAACACATCTGCCAACAGGCACAACAGTTGAGTGCCAAACTGATAGATCACAAATTAAAAACCGAAAGTTTGCAATGGCACATCTTAGAGCTCTTTTGTACCAGAAAGAACTAGACAGGCAATTGGCAGAGGCTAAGAGTACCCGCAAAAGTCAAGTAAAATCTCAAGATAGAAATGAAAAAATTAGGACATACAATTTTAATCAAGACCGCATAACCGACCATAGGCTCCAGGGGGTGCATTTTCATAACATAGAAATGTTTATGAAGGAAGGAAAGGATTTGGAAAAATTGTTGCATGAAATTGATAAGCAGTCTAGGATACAAAATTTATTAGAAATTGTAACAAATGTCTGAATTATATTAGTTTTGATTTTTAATTCTGGTTGTTCTTTGTTTTTGACACAGAGTACTAAATTCTGTGATTTCAGTTTTATACGAGTCCTCTAGTATTCTGTGTCTAGTAGCGCCAAAATGGCTTGCGGTATTAATAAAATGCAATTGCCTTTGTAACTAATCACTTTTGTTTGCAGTCCTTGCATTTACCAAACGTAATGAAAATCTTAAACAAAAACTGAAAGAACTTGAATTCTTGTGTTCTAAATTTCAAAATTGTTCACTGTTACTGGATATAATAGTAATCTTTATATCTTACATCTTTCAATGATTAAGAAACGTAGCAGTAGTGATTGGGAGCGTGTTGCACATTTGAATTTACAAAGCCATTGCCGAGACGTCCGGTGGCACATGCGCTACAAATCAACATGTTGCGGGGTGCACGCCATTTTTGGTAACGAGTTTATTTTGTGCTAGGTAGCGGTAGCGAAGCGATCGATATTAGTAAAATTTGGTCTTGAAAGAGGAATTAATAATAATTATATATTTTTTGTTATTATTTATATTATTATTAGCATTTACAAAAAAAAATTTTTTCAGAGTCCCAACGAGAAAGTTTTCTCGAAAACCCCTCAAGTTTTCGAAGATCAAATGCTGCTCCGAAATGTGCTAGATGTGGTAAATTCTAAAATGGACCTCTTAATAAATTTACAAATGTAGACTTCGAAAATATTCTAATAAGTTCCCTTCATAACTCCTTACAGTCTTCATAATACTTCTGATTTTTTGGTATTGGACACCTATCACCTTCATTATCCTGAATTATTCGAATTGGTTCTACGAATTCCAAACCAATTTGACTAAATTATGCTCGGTCATTTCGTTTTGAATTCAAAAGTTCAACAATTTCTGATGTAGTAGATACTACAGTCAAAAGACGTTTCCACTTTATTACCACATGTTAATTAAATCAGCGGCACTACATACAAACATTGAATAAGAAATACCTTCAAAAAAATCTAAATTTCGAAATCGACAACACCCAAACAAAAATAGGACACCATAACCTGTACATACACGTTGCCAATCGCTACCGTTACGTATCGGGAGCGCCTTGCTACATCCGCTGAATACGACCAATGATCCTTGCAATTTTTGGCAGTAAACAGTTATTAATGTAATTTATTTACCTAAAAACAAAGTTTTCATTGATTAAACAAACACAATGTCAATATATTTTTTTAATTACAAGTACTAAATATATATTAATTTAAATAACAAAGAATTGGACACTAAGCTTGGATCCAAATAAAGAAGAAGAATGGCCTTGGTAACGGTGGACCTACCAATCAAAACAAACAGGTTTTCATTTTCAAAATGTCGAATGCATATGTCCGTTAACGGATAGTTGTATCCTCGTTTTCTTATTTAAGTGTTTTAAGTGACTTTCAAAGCCTTTCGTGTATTATATCGGCGAACATGGAAAACAATAACGAATGTGTTGATTCCGTAGACTATTCTATACTTTCATTGGCGGACAGGTAAGTAAATTTGTTTGGAATCCGTTTTAGTTATTATCATAAGAAAATTTTCGGAAATTATTATCGATATAATTAAGATGCAACCTAAATTCTCCATAACCACCTTTAAAGTTCTTGGAAATTTTCATTTACGTCAATGAAAGTGCCCTTACGAGCCTTTTTTTTGCGTCCCTAGTCAATCAATAACTTAGAAGGATTGCATTACAGGTATAATATAACTGCAAGCGTTATGAAATATACAATAGAGTATGTGCCAATAATACGTATCGCATAATCTGAATCTCACTTTTACTAACACTAACAATTTTTTTGCATTTGCGTTAATTAGTTCTACTAGAGAAAAAATGACAGTACTAGTTTTTTGTCCTTGTAGACCTTGTTATAAATTAAAAATGTCAACAATAGCAGGTTGACAGGTTCGGTATTAGGTATTATGTAGTATTTCATTCATTATTAGAATGTCCCAAAAAAATATCCCCAGTTTATTTCTTAGTGTCTTGACACTCTGTATGTGTTTTTTGTTAAAATCTGGTTTGTTCACGGGATATTTACACGAAAAGCTTTAAACATATGCTTTGAAGCAGCTTAAGAACCTTAGTTGTTGCTAGATTCAAGTCCAATAAACATATTTAGATTTCCATTCATTTAATCAGTTTCGTCTTTATTTATAACAAAACAAAATTGCCAGTTTGTCTTATTGGAGATAACTATACTTACAGTAATCATCACCAACCCTTAACTTTAATTTAGTTTCGGAATTTCTTTAATTGACGATTCGATTAGTCATCGCAAACTTTCTATCTGTAAACACATTACGCCTCCGCACGAGGGCCAATCAAACGCCGCCCTCGATGGCCTCCCTATTCGATCGATAAAGATACATCCCTTCTTTCCGTGGTCGCGTCTCTTTCTTTGAGCCGCCGCCGACAAGGATGGTGCGACGATCGGCGAGACACGGCGCACGTGGTCCACGGAGCTCTATGATGCTGGCGCGGGCTCTTGGCAACTTCGGAAATTTTTAGTTGTGTTTAGAGCAGTACGTGCGTAAGTGGTTGGTTGTTTCGACGCCGACGACAATTTTTAATCATTTCTCCGTCGCCGATGTTTCCTCGTTACGACTTTATTGTAAAGTGCGTGGGTTTTTTTTTTCGTAACCGTCAGCGATTGCACAAATCGAGAGTGCGCGTTGTTTATTTTGTCGACGGATATTCGTTTATTGATAATGCAATTTCTTGAAAACGTTTCGCGCGATACCGTCACCGGTCTTAACACTTGGTAGTTGTTGGGTGGCTTTGGAGATGTGATACGCGCGGGATGATTTTAATTTAAGGACCTTTATGTTTTCGTTGTACCGCGCGCGCGTTTAGAATGTCGTTTTTTAGTTTTACTAGCGGATATTTGAGTTCCCCGCCTAGGGAGTCCCCCATCAATAATAACTTGGCGAGGAGCCCGACGATACCGTTTTGGTGAGTTTGCTTGCTACGAGAGATTATTGAAATTAATGCGATTTTTAATTGTTTGTTGCGTTTATTTGTGCAGGTGTAAGTGTTGGAGCTTATATCATTTCAAGTCAGGCCTGCAGATGTTAATAAACATGCGTATATTCAAATTTTTATGTCATTTCAATTTTGAATGGTAAATAACGAAAAAAAAACCAGACTTGTAAATGTTAGGGAATATGGGAAAACGAATTAGTTTTACGTATTTCATCGTGTTGATTGTCTTTTTGATTTAGTGGCAAATTTTATCGAAAATTCAGAATTATTTTAAGAAAATGCAGTTTTTTTTTCTGTAATTAGCTGGCCACCCTGTGGGAATGTTCACAGCTTCATGTCATTTCAATTTTGAATGGTATGTAACAAACAAAAAAGGCCAGATCTGCAATTAGCAGGGAATATGGGAACAAGTTTTACATATTTTATCGTATTGATTGTCTTTGTAATTTAGTATCAAATTTTGTCGAAAAGTAGGAATTGGAAATTGGAATGAATTTTTTGGAAAAAATAAAAATATCTCGAAAAATATCAATATTGCAAACATTGTTTAATCGCGTTCTTAAAATTTTTAAAAGTTTTGGTGTGGAATAAAAAAAACATTAAATGAAACGGTGAAACCAATTTCGAGAATCGATTGGAGGTTACCATGGAACGAAGGGAAAATCCCCATGTCCAAAATATTTCCCTAGATTTCCTCATTTTTCTACGCATTACCCAAATAATTTTCCGCTTTCCCTAAGTCTCCTCGTATTTCTCTATATTTCTTAAACATTTCCTATATTTTTTTTATGCAATATGTTTAACTTAGTTTGGTGTATGAAGAAACTGACCCATAATAATAATGCTTTAGGTAAAATTCGCTTGTTTCTCTCAATAATATCTAAAAGCATTAAAAAAAATAATTCAAGCATAAACTGACTACTAAGTATTCATGTGGTTTTTGTGGAAATTGTATATATCTTCGTCCATTATTATTGATATCATAAATAGAGAATCAAACCCACGAATCTATGACCCTAGAGATGAGTTTTTTTTAAACTTAAATCCTAAATTATCTTTCGTTGCATCGAAACACTTTCTTTCTTCTTAAATCTGTTTAGCTAATCAGTAATTCAGATTGAAATAATATTTCTCTATATTACCTTAAAATTCCCTCATTTAGATCTTCCTTCCCTGTGCCTGTTTCGAATGAGAAGCTATAAAGCTAAGTTAATATAGTCAGTATAGTTATTGTTATTATTCAATTAGAAAACGTCCCGGATATTGGAAAAGTTCTGTCGGAAACTCATAAAACTTAAAGGTTAAATAAAAATGAAATACAATTGGATTAATGTTAATACTCCCCAGACAACTAATATGACTTTGTTTAAGTTCAATTTATAATTCTTGATAATAACTAACAAAGGTAATGTCCAGGGTTCGACTCAGGGTAGTGCTTTCCATCCTTTTGTAGGTTAGTAGCAATAATTGGTTTACATTTATGTCGATGTTGCTTATTGCAAGTCCTTATAATTTGTAACACAACAGATCCGCAGAGTTGAGATCGAAGTTGAAATCAACACGCCTCAGATTCGGTTGGATACGAGGCTGTATATCAAAAGGGAATGCGAGAGTTATGGGGCGAACAAATTCATCAAGCGTGAGGCGCTTACGATACGCGAAATTAAATTTGAGTTATTGCAAAAAACGACCGTAACTCGGCGTTAAAAATACGATACAGCGTATAGTGGGATTTTAAATTCTTAGAGATTTAATTTAAAACTGAGAATTATACGAAAAACACGGTTTCACTAACCTGGAAATCCTGGGAAAATTCATGAGGCGGCCTGAAGTTAATCAAAAGTACTACTTATTCAAAATGGAGAGGGGTTGGCCCCCCTTTTTTTAAATTGCATAACATTAAATCATATACCTTTGGTTGTAAATAATATCTCTATAAAATTACAAGCAATTAACGCTAAAAATATTCCTCATAACATGAATTAGGGTTTTATAACAATATTTTGCCACAAAGGTTACATGTTTTGTATTGTTTTCATGGCATCTAGTATTTGATCAAATCATCGTAATGCGAGGGTCACTTGAACTGTTTCCGATCTTACCCTGAAGAAGTTACTCCAAAGCTAATGATCGTAGTTGTAGACTTCTTGATAGTTACTTAGCAAAGTTTCAACCATTTTGGACACGTGGTTTTTAGTTGACAGTGAGTCGACGTGAGAGTTTTCGTGAAAATGGAAAAAATTGAGTATAGAGCTGTTATAAAATAATTTTGAAATGCAATACGTCTTCGCAAAATTAAGTTGAGTTGAAATTTGTGTATAGGGACTCCGCACTGTCATCTACCACAGTGAAATTTTGGACGGCTGAATTTAAACGTCGCCGAAAGCTTAACGTTTGGGTCGTCCAAAAACTGTAACTAACGACGATAAAGTGCATCAATATCAGAGGTTATGAAAATGTCCGAAGAACGCGTTTGTCACATTTTAAATCAAAATTTAGGCATGAGAAGCCCCGTGTGTGAGGCGGAGAGCTCTCGAAGCCTGGGCGAGAGACCGGACCGCGGTGGGCTAGAGAGTTGCTCCGGGAATGGGGCAGGCGAGGCGAGAAGGGAGTGTAGAGCACTAACAGGGGCCTACACAGGACATTGCAGGCTTAGGAGGCATATTTGCTTGCTAGGCATTGAAGACGACCCGGAGTGCAGGTGCTGGACGGAAGTAGAGGAGACCCCGTATCATCTGCTCACCGAGTACCCTGCTTTGACGTGGGCAAAATTGGGAGTCTTCGGAACGGCCTTGGTCGATCCGGACTCAGTATTGAGCTAAAGGAGTTGCTGACCTTCTATTGGAAGGGCGGTATTCTGGACGCCCTCTAGGGCGGCCTGGGGGCACAACGGGCCCATCTGGTGGCCTAAGTGCTTGGACGCCCGCGAGGGCGCCCCCTTTAATACCAATACCAATAGGCATGAGAAAGGTGTTCGCGCGTTGTGTATCGCGTTTACTCACGTTAGACCAAAGACGTGTTCGAATGAACGTTTCCAATGCTTTGTCAGCGCAATTTAGATACAATAAGTCCTAGTTTTGGCGCCTATTAATTACTGTAAATGAAACTTGGATACACCAAAACAGTGGACTGCGAAGCGAAAAAAGCAGAAACGGCTGGGAAAGTTATGTCGACTGTTTTTTGAGATAGCCATGGAGTTATCTTAGCGATACCTTCAAAAAGGAATAACCATTATAGGAGCATACACGCATCATTACTTGACAAGTTGAAAAAATGGTGTTTCACCAGTGGTTGCCATGGCGAAAATCCATGAATTACGGTTTGATGCAGCGACTTCTTTTTATCCTTCATTTGAAAATTGCGCCCGGAGGACAAGGATTTTCGTGAAATGAGGAGGTACAGGACTACAGTGACACTCGTAATATTATATGTTCACCACACCCGATAAGGTTCTTCTTCTGCTGTTATCAACAACTCATCTGAAATATGATCATCTATTGATGGTTCTTCCTTATCTATTTTTTCTTTCCTTTTTTCAATCTTCATTCATTTCCTCTGTTCGCTTTACTTTCATTTCTTGGACGTTTTGTTTAATAAAGATTAAAGATTAGCAACATTTACGTCCCAAAATTAATTGGAGAATTTTATTATAAGCCTTAAATATTTTTCATGCCCGTAAAATCTCCGAATTACATAGGGAAAAATTAAGAACGTTTTGTATAAATTAAAATAATAAATAAATAAATAACAGTCACTTCAATTTAAAATTTTTGGATATTTTGAAAAGGATTCCGGCCCGGAATTACTGTAAAAAATATACGCAAACATTCATCAATGGTTGTTGTCTAGAGTCCCACTTAGAGTCGCGCGAGATTAATGACGTATTTCCAGCATTTTCAATTTCAAGAAAGAGAGGTTACAAAATTGATTAGGGATGGGTAAGAATGCGTCAGAAAGTTTTGTTGTAAAAGTCATGAAAATTTGCAAAACTCAGATGAACCGAAAATCGTAAAATAATTATAAGTTTTTATTTTCCTGTAAATTAATTATCGTTGTTGTATTTCCCAGCCGTTGTTTAGTAGTCAAGGCTTTGAAGTGGCGGCCAGTTATAATTCATTTATACGCCAATTTCGGACACATTGTATAAGTATTGAATAAACTGTTAACAATTAAAAATGATATTGCTCTTGACAAGCGCAATGAGTTATTACCGTTTGAGATTTAAACGATGAAGTCATCGTGGAGTAAAAGTGGCTCCCTATGCAGATTGAGCACTGCAGGCGTACATACAAAGAAAATGAATATATCAGTTGTTGGTTTAATATTTTCGGAATGGTTTTACCGCTCCTCCCAAGTGCAACTTTAAAACGCTCAAAGTGTATTAAAAGTGGGATAAAAGGTTTGTTATTGTAAGCTATTTCATAAAGGTGTGGAGTAATAAAACGGGAGCTTGCATCCAGTGTTGCTCAATTTCGGTGTCGGCCATAGGCGAAGGTAAACTTAAACAATAACATTATTTTTGATAAAAATACGAAAATACTTGAGAAGTATAAAACACTATTGAAGAGTAGAAGAAAATTTTGGGCCTTTTGACGGTTATATAGTACAAAGAACGTCGCAAGTCAACAAAAGTTCGCAAAGCTTTCATGGAAGGTTTGTCAACGAGTATTTCTATGCCTCCATGAAAAAAAGTGCTAATAATCGTTCATATCGAAAGCGAAGAGTAATTTTTAAAAGTTTCGCTAACATTTTAACAGTGTCGGATTACCATGACTACCTGAATCCGAATGGAAGATTATTTTTGAGAAATGATAAAATATTTTCCGACTTATTTAGTAGTAGTTATAGATGACGCAAGCTGTGATTCACTTCGGATAAGGACGAATCCATCATCTTGGGAGAAAACAAGAATTATTGAAAGGTTAAAGACCAAAACTATTGAATTTGAATTTAATTTGATAAAGAAGAAA